TAGTGGATTGATCCCTACGTACTACAATTGATTAGATGTGCGCTTACGGCTTTCATTATTTTGATTAGGGTAAAAATTGCTCACATCCCGCACACCATATCACAGAGCTCCAGGTTCTGAGAGTTTCCGTATCTGGTGAGAAAATATCTAGGTTAAACGTGAGTATCGACAAGTTCACAGGGAAGAACAACTTCAGTCTCTGGCAAATCAAGGTGCAAGCCTTGCTGAGGCAACAAGGCTTGTGGGCAACGCTGTTGAAAGACAACGAGGGTAACACTACTGCGATGACATGACTGAAGGACAAAGCATACTCAATGATTTTGCTTTGTCTTGTAAATGAGATCATCACCGAGGTTGCAAAAAAAAAGATTGTGGCTGGTCTATGGGGGAGGTTGGAGACGTTGTACATGAAAAAGTCTCTAACGAACAAATTGCTTCTAAAACAACGCCTATTCACATTAAGAATGCAGGAAGGTATGCGATTCAGGGATTACTTAGATTATTGGAGCACATTATTACTGGAACTGCGTAATATCGATGTTAAGATAGTCGGTAAAGATACAGTTGCACTAGAGAAAGTAAGGTCATCTCTTCACAGTGAGGAGCTGCGTCATAAGGCATCTGGTTACAGGTACGGACAGTCACAACTCTGGACTTTTTGTCAGCAGTGGTAAGAGATATGTGAAAGACAAGAAGAAGTCATTTGCAAAAGGTCTCAAACGAAGTGATGTCTCTAAATACTGTAAGGAGGTAGGATACTGAAAATCAGAATGTCCTTAGAAGAAGAACCAATCTAAATCTGTTGCTATAGTAGAAGCTGACACAAGGCTCAAAGTGGACGCTGCTCTAGTTGCTGAAGGACACACTCGTTCCTTTGAGAGGTGGGTTCTAGATACTGGAGCGTATTATCATACATATCTAAGGACAGATTGGTTTTCAACTAATGAGAATGTAGCTTATGGCAGATTGAAATGGCCAATAGTCTTGCTTGTAAGATTCTTAGAATATGATAAGTTAAGCTCAGGACATATAATGGTAGTATTTTCACATTGAACAAAGTTATATATGTTCCATATATGATGAAAAACTTGATATCTTTGAGTCTACTAGATAATAAATGTTTCTAGTATTCAAGCGAAGGTGAACTTTTGAAGGTTTACAAGGGTTCACATGTGATTCTGAAGGGTGTCATACGTGGTACGTTATATGTGCTGTGAGGTTCTACGGCTACAAGTTCTGTGAATGTTGCATCTTTAGAGTTTCATAAAAAGAGTATGACCAAGTTTTGGCATTATAATTTTGGTCGTATCGGTGAAAGGGACGTGCAATTCTGTCAAAGGAAGGTGAGAAATTCTGTTCATCGGAGCTCAATCAGTTATGTAAGGATGGAGGAGTTGTCCGACATCATGAAGTTACAGATACATCACAAAGGAATGGTGTACCTAGGCAGATGAAATATAAGTTATTGCAGGGGGCGAGGTGCATGCTCTATATTGTTAATTCATAAAGAAGGTTATAAGATGAGGCTCTAACCAAAACTGTTGCATAGAATAGTAGCTTTGACAAGCATGTGAAGTTGCATATTGATCGTGAAAAGACTGTTTTGGAGCAACACAAAGAAAGTCAAAAGCTACAGATAAAAGTTGTTCTGTTGACACCATCTGAGATTACACATTGTAGACTGTTCATGATCAGCTTATCAGGATTGAGATTGGATCAATAGAGGTGTATGGTTTCAAAGAAATGATGGATTATGCACTGCACGTCCGAAAGAACGTTTGGCTCGAAGAAGCATCTGAACCCAGTGAGGGTTGTTTGGCTCGAAGGAGCATCTGAGCCTGGTTTAGGGGTTTTTGGCTTGAAAGATCATCTGAGCCCGTTGAGGGGCGTCTGGTTCAAAAAGACATCTGGTTCTCAAAAGATGTCTAGTCCGAAGAGACGTATGGTCTGAAATAACTTCTAGTCCGCAGTGGTGTCTAGTCCGACGGGACAACTGGTCTAAAGGGGCACCTGATCTGAAGAGGCATTAACACCAAGTATATCTAGCACAATATGACTGCATCTGGTACATCTGACACAGTAATGGTGTGTTTGGTACATCTGATAGAAGGGACTTGTGGTACGAAGGAGGTGTAAGATGTATGACATCAATTGAGGTGTAAGCTACGAAGCTTATTGCAGATTGTCGGTTAGAGTAATGGACCTAAGCTATTAGCTTAAGGTCATTACGTGGGTCACATATGAATATGGTTAATTAGTTAGCTATAAATATCGATGTTATACCTAATTCTGAGGAATTTTGATTCTGATTCAGAACCTCCAGCAGGGTTTACTGAACCTTCTGCATCCCTTAATAAAACGGTTTCCTTGGTTTGTGGAGATAGCCAACACATCGTTAGTGAACCACGTTAAATCTGTGTCGTGTTCTTTACGTTTATAGCTTATCTTTTCGCATCCGTTATAACAATTTGATTTTATAAGTAATCAAGTTTTTTTTTTTTTGGAAATGAAGAAGAAGATGGAAGCGTTAACTCTGTACCGTTTCCTCCGAAAATCAATCCCTCTGATGTTTCTTGCTATGCTCGCTACTTTTTTTTCTCTGTCGATGATGCTTCGACCTCGGTTTCCTCAGGTCTCGCGAGCATCGTCATACTCATCGACCAACTCAACCTTAATCACATATTCTCCTACTGCTACGCTCCGATTGAATTACCTGCATGTCTATACTCAAGGCCAGAGAAGAAGTGAGAAAGCTCTATTACAGACACGTCTTCCACAAGGATTGTTTAGAAGGTTGGTTCCAATTGTCAATTGTCAGCTCTGTAGATATCTTTTCTTCACCCATAAAGGTGATTTGATCTCATCTTTTTTTTTTGGTAAAAATGTTAAGTTTTATACCATTTTAGTTTTTGACAGCATTATAGAGATACAACAAAGAAGATGGAAGACACAAAAATAAAAACAAGCTACCAAACAACAACCCTAAAGAATGCAAACCACAACAAGCACGAAATTAGAAAGGTAGAGAAAAAATCATTTTAAGTGCAGAACAGCACACAAATGAATAAACAGCAATCAAACGCTAAGCGAAGACCATCATGTGCCTCAGTCCCGAAAGACTGGAATCCTTTTCATAGTTGCCACGAGCTCATCCTAAGGCAAGTCCTCAAAACATCAAAGACGAAACCTATATCTTCTCAGAGGGGGCACAGAATCTGCATATCTGACAAAGCAGACTCTCTTGAGACCGGCGGCACAGGAGCATCTGCGGACAGCCGGAGAAGCCGCCTACGACCACCATTCCAAGTTCACAAAAGCAAAATCAGAAATCATCTCCCACAGTAACTAGAAAGATGCCAGTGCATAGATGCCGCCTCTATTTAACATGATGCACCATTCTTCAAAAACCTCTGATTAACACCAGAGCCTTTTCTACCAGACCAAACCCACTCAAGGGTCCACACAGTTCAATAAAGAAAATAATGAACATGTACCAGCAATGCTAAGAGCCACCTGGAGGCGCACAAAGCGGCAGCGCATCACCACGATCACAAAAAGCAAAAGGACAACACGCCGTGCCACACGCCTGGAGCCACCATCAAAAAATTTCTGCCACGCAAAACACCGAGAAGACCACGAAGCCAGAACTAGCCAGCGAACCACATCAGACCCACACCCGCCTGCCACGCAAAGAGAGGGAACCTGACCACCGATAGATCCAGCAACCTGTCATCGGAAAAGAAGAGCTCCGACAAGACGCCTGCCTAAGAGGAGGTGGCTTCCAGAGCGACTAAGAAACAGCCGACCACCACTTGGAAAGCAAGACAACACGAAGCTCATCCACCTCCGCACTGCACCACGGAAGTCTCGCCGACCAGAGACCCCACCTGTCTGAGACAGGGGAGATGAGACTGAGGGGGGGAGCCAGTCGCCACAAGAAGCCGCACACTGCAACAAAACCGCGCCGCCACCGCAAACCCTGTCTAAAAGCCTACCTCAAATTTCACCAGATCTGAAAGAGGCACGCTACCCCGTCCTCAAGAGCCAAGCACAACACCTCTGAGCGGACCGGCGAAAGACCAAGCCGTCAACACCGCCTTCGTCGCACCACCTCGTACCGGCCCAACCCACGCCAGAGAAAACCACCGACAACGAAGCTTCAAAAACTTGTGGTAACAAAGAGAGGAAAAGAAAGTAGAGATAGAAAAAAAAACATGAAAAGGGGGGGCTCTCACGACACCGACGAGGAGCGCCAGCCGTCGCCGGCCGGAGAGGGCAGCGGCGGCAGATCTGGAAAACTAGGGCGAACTTGCTCGGGAGAGAAAAGAGGAAGAGAGAGAGAAAATTAATCTGTATCCTTAAACTTGGCTATAAACCTCATCATTTTCTTTTGATCTCATCTTTGTCTTTTTACTCAGCCATTCAATCTCAATGATTTTTCATTCGTTGTGAATAAACAAAAAGAACAAGAAAGGATAACGTTGACGATTATCCTCCATTATGTCAATCATAAAAATTGAAACACTATACACATGTTTTTGGGAAATAATGTTAGAGTGGAATGAAATCCCATCAGATTTTTATTTTATTCCACTCTAACGTTATTTCCTAAAAACAGGTGTATAGTGTTTTAGTTTTCATGACTGACATAATAGAGGATAAAGCTGACGATTATATAGCAGATTGAATCAGACTTAGTTAGTTTGATTTGCATTTTCAATAAGTCGAAGGTAGAGTTGCAAAATAAAAAATTTATTTAGGAGTTTATTTGCAGAAATTTTTTGTAGAAATTGCATATAATTTTTTTTTTTTTTTTTGTAAAAGTTGCACAGAGCCTAATATTTTTGTGAGCCGGGTCTGCGCATGCATAAAGTCACCCGACATGTGCTTGGCAACTATTTAGTTACGAAGAAGAGCTGGGCCTGAAGATATATTCCCATAACCAAAACCCCAAATAAAGCCCAAAAATTTGAAGAAAAACAAAGAAGAAACAACATCACGTCTTTCAGTATTCCCGTAGATTTTCCCAGAGATTTTCCGAATCCGGCGGCGGAAATCAGAATTTTTTTTTCCGGAAGCTACTGTAATGGGAAGAGGAAGACAAAGAGGTCGTTCTCAGAGGAAGCATTTCAAAGAAAGCAGAGAGAATGTCTGGAAACGTCCCAAATCCGATGATACCGTCGACGCTTCCGGCAACGCCGTTCCGGAAAAACCCACCTGGGAACCGATTTTGACTGATAACCCTAATTTCGAGGAATATTACAAGGTAGATTCCGTATCGATTAGAGACTGTTATCTCTTTTTTTTTGCGTTTTCAATTTTTCTTCTCATTAAGTTCAGGTTGTGAGCTATTGAGGGGTTTAGGGTTTTGATTTTAATGTATTTTCCTTTTTTGATTAATGGATCTGAATTTAGTGATAGTATTGTTATTCTAACTCTTGTGCTTGTGTGTGTAGGAACAAGGGGTAGTGAAAGCAGAAGAGTGGGATTTGTTCATGGAGATTCTTCGTAAACCTTTGCCTGCTGCGTTTAGGGTTAACTCCAAGTAATGCTATTTTTCTCTCTTTTCATTATGTAACTTGTTGATAGTCTCAGTGAGGTTTAGGGTTTAAGGTTGAGTTTTAATGTAAAAATCCACAAGGTAAAGTTTATGACTACAACTTGAGATTGGTTCAACATTGCAATTACTAACTAGATTCTGCCTTTTACTTCGTTTATGATTTGCAGTAGCCAATTTTGCGATGATATTATATCGATCTTGGAGAATGACTTCGTGAAATCTCTTCAGGCACAGGTAAAAATACAATGTTTGTAATTGGCATTTTTGTAACGTCTTTCTGTATTAGACTCGAAAATCTATTTGTTCTCATATTTTCTATTTTTAATTGCTTTTTAGGCCATAGAAGATGGTGAATTAGAGGCTATTAAGCCCTTGCCTTGGTATCCGAAGAATCTCGCTTGGCATTCTAATTTTTCTCGAAAGCAGATTAGGAAAAATCAGACACTCGAGAGGTACCTTTTCACTACATTTGAATGTTTTTTGTTACTCTGTTAACTATGAGTATGGTTAAAGAGTTTGTGTGTTAGCTGTGTTACACATTGTTTTTTTTTTATTTTCCTTATAGGTTTCATGAATTTCTGAAACTAGAAAATGAAGTTGGAAACATGACCAGGCAGGAAGCTGTTAGCATGGTAAGATAGCTTATTACTCCCTTCTGCCATTAACGTTGTTCTGTCTTTACTTACATTTATAAAACCGTTGAATTTAATCTTGCAGGTACCTCCTCTCTTCCTCGACGTACATCCAGATCATTTCGTACTTGACAGTGAGTGAATTTTCATTTGATATTGTTTTGAGACCTAAAAGTCTTCAAAGGGCTCGAAAAAGTATTCGTCTTGCTAAAGGAAGACATGTCCACATGACTATATCCACTCTCCGGGAAAATTAGTGGTCAATGGTTACTGATCACTTATCTTCTATTTGTGTCTGAGCAGTGTGTGCTGCTCCGGGTTCCAAAACATTTCAGCTGCTTGAGATTATACATGGAGCATCAGAACCAGGAACTCTACCTAATGGAATGGTTTGTGTTCAACTTCATATTTTTAATTCACAAACGCTGGTTTTAGGTAGATGGATAATTTTATTGTTTTTCCCTTAATAATCAGGTGGTGGCTAATGATGTCGATTTCCAAAGATCTAACCTTCTTATTCACCAAACAAAGCGAATGTGCACAGCCAACTTGATAGTGACTAATCATGAAGGGCAACAGTTTCCCGGTTGCCGCTTGAACAAATCCCGAGCTTCCGAGAAAGGATTAAGTGAAGATATGCCCATCAATCAACTTTCCTTTGACCGTGTTCTTTGCGATGTTCCATGCAGTGGTGATGGTACACTGCGCAAGGCTCCAGACATCTGGCGAAAATGGTATTTTTCACATTTGCCCTTTTTCTTCTATTCCATGTTATGATGCATCTATGTGACATTTCTTCTTGAAAAATTCTTATTCCTTTTGGTTTCTGTACAGGAATTCTGGAATGGGCAATGGACTTCATAGCCTACAAGTTATTCTTGCTATGAGGGGTAAGCTTTTCTTATGTCCAAACACATGAAATTTCTTGTCAGAATGACACGCCTTAATGTTAAGCATCTCTGCTTGGTCTTTTTAGGTTTATCTCTGTTGAAAGTTGGTGGGAAAATGATATACTCAACCTGCTCAATGAATCCAATTGAGGATGAAGCCGTTGTTGCTGAGGTAATTTTCAAGTAACTTACTTCAACTTTCATTATAACTCGTTATAGCTGTAACTGCATAAAAACCCTTGCTTGAATTCAGATTCTTCGAAGGTGTGGAGACTCTGTTGAACTTGTAGATGTTTCCGATAAGCTTCCTGAACTTATACGAAGACCAGGTCTTAAGACATGGAAGGTCAGTTTCTACTACAATTCAACCTATTGAACAAACCCTCTTCTCCAAATCTAATGGGAATATTCATGTAATGTCCCTTGTCCATGTTGGATCCAGGTGCGTGATAAAGGTGGGTGGTTTACTTCTTACAAAGACGTTCCTCAAAACCGTAGAGGCGGAGTTCTTGTGAGCATGTTTCCTTCTGGGCAAAATATCAAGGACTCAACTGAAACAACGCAAGAAAATGAGAATGGTGGTGTTAACGGCTGTGAAGATGGATCCAAAGAAACTGTGGTGGATGCTATTCCTGATGAACCAGTTGTTGAAGTCTCTGATCTTCCACTTGAACGTTGCATGAGGATAGTGCCTCATGATCAGAACACCGGAGGCTTTTTCATCGCCGTCCTTCACAAAGTTTCGCCCTTGCCAGGTGATTGTTAGAACATGTTCCTTGAATTGATGATAATCACCTATGGTTCTGTAGAACTTATAGGTAGTTTTTTCTCACAGAGTTTCAGGAGAAACCAAATCCGAGAAAGCACCCATCTACTAAAACTGCTGATTCAACAGAAAAATCTCCGGCTGAAGAAGCGGTTGTTACTGTTGATGTTGAACCAGCAGAGAGTGCAGTTGAAAAAGTCACAGAAGCAAATTCAAACAATGAGAAAGACGAAAGCTTGGAGCCTGAGAAGAAAAACACAGAGGGAGAAAGCATCACTGAAGAGAAAGAAGCCAATTCAAGTAACGTGGGAGGCAAGAGAAAAGTACCGATGCAAGGGAAGTGGAAAGGCTTCGACCCAATTGTTTTCTTGAAAGACGAAACACTAATCAACAGCATCAAGGAGTTTTACGGAATCAAAGACGAATCATTTCCACTGTATGGTCATCTCGTGGCAAGAAACACCGACACGAGCAGCGTGAAAAGGATTTACTATGTTTCGAAATCAGTCAAGGAAGTTCTTCAGCTGAATTTCGCAGTCGGACAGCAGCTTAAGATCGCATCTGTTGGTCTCAAGATGTTTGTAAGTACACAAAAAATTATATACCTTCTCTCATTTTCGTTGAAACTTGGAAAATTTTTAATTTGTAACCAATCGAAAACACAGGAGAGACAATCAGCAAAAGAAGGTTCAAGCAAGCCGTGCTCGTTCCGTATATCATCCGAGGGGCTACCTGTGATCCTTCCATACATCACCAAACAAATACTTTATACTCCAATGGCGGATTTCAAACATCTTTTGGAATACAAATCGATCAAGTTTCCGGATTTTGTCAATCCACAATTAGGCCAGAAAGCAATTGACCTTGTCTTGGGATGCTGCGTGGTGATTCTCAGCGACGGTGAGTACTGTCTGGTTAATGTTAGAATTGCTTTTGGTTATGTAGAATGTCGTTTTTTTTACGGTTTTGCTGGTATTATTTCAGGTGAAGAACCGGCGAAAGTGGATGCATCGACAATAGCCATCAGTTGCTGGAGAGGGAAGAACAGTTTGGGTGTTATGGTCACTGCTGCGGATTGTCAAGAGCTGCTTGAGAGACTTGCAGAGAGAACTACAAAAACCGAAGTTGGTTCGGTAAATGGAAGCAATGGTGATCAAGGTGGTCCTCAAGCTATGGAGACAGCTTGAAAACCCTTAATAAACTCATCATAACTTCATATTTGTACTTCTCTGTTGTGTTTTTTATTTATTTATTATAATTCACTTTCCTCCCTCCAAATTTCTTTTTCATATAAGCACCATGCATGATGACTTTTGATGAATGGATGACAGACAAAAAATGAAAGCTTTATATTTCCAGTGTAACCATAGGAACAAAATCTTCTGATAAATAAGTTTCAAACAAATGGATGATTACATGACAAATTCCCAAAGAATATACTATGAAAAACCTCTCCCTACCTAACACACCCATTTCAAATTTGCTGAAAATGAAAAAGATTGAATTTTTTTTTTCCTTTTGTTGGAACGGTAGTGGAACAAATCAAGTGGACTTACGAGTTACAACACATGGTGCTCTTAGTGGGGATCTCTTGTGCATGACCCGGGATAACAATCTTCTTTCCAGCCATTGATCCGTGGTTGTTTGAACCGCCTTGGTTTTCGCTAGATGAGAGATTCTTCTTGTTCACTGTGTTGAAGATCTCGGTCAAGAGAGTGTTGAAAGAGTTTTCTACGTTTGTAGAGTTTAAAGCTGAAGTCTCTAGGAAAAATAGCTCTTCTTTCTCTGCAAATTCTTTGGCGTCCTCCATGGGAACCGATCTCTGGTCTTCTAAATCAGACTTGTTACCGATCAGGATGATGACAATGTTCTTATCTGCGTGTGCTCGTAGCTCTTCTAGCCATCGAGGAATGTGGTCAAAGGACTCGCGTTTTGTTATGTCGTAAACCAGCATTGCACCAACAGCACCTCTATAGTACGCGCTTGTAACAGCTCTGTATCTGCTCACAGCCAAGAAAAACACAAGAACGTCACAGATCGAAGCAGCTACATCGTTATGTACAATGGAGATAAGAGGTAAGATTACCACAAAATGCACAAAATGATTAGCCGTTAGTTTTTGATCACACATAATTTGATCTATTATTGAGGTATTAGATCCTCGTAGAGAATCATTCAATCACAGTGACCACTTCAGCTGATAAAAGTTGAGATCTACAGACAAATTCTAACAATGTTTCTCTAAATCAATATCCGATCATATCAAACTCTGGGATTCATTGTACATCAAGTGTCATATTAGTGCATTGAGCAGAGATACGAAAGCAAAATTAATCACCCTCTCAAACAAGGTCGCCTTCAGGTATTCACAGATCCATAATAGCATCGAATTCTAAGAAAAACTTCTCCATTTGAACAAACACGCAAATTTGATGTATATTTTTGGTATTAGATCCTCGTAGAGAATGCTATAACACAATGAATTGTTGCCGAAAACAAAGTAACAAATCATCTAATCACAGTGACCACTCCAGCTGACAAAAGTTGAGATCTACAGACAAATTCTTACACATTCTCTAAATCATTTTTCCGATCACATCAAACTCTGGGATATATGATAGATTATACATCAAGTGTCACATGTGAGCATTGAGAAGAGCGACGAAAGCAAAATGAATCACTCTCTAAGTCAAACCAGGTCGCTTTCAGGTATACGCAGATCCAATTATAGCATCGAATTCTAAGAACTACCTCTCCACTTCAGCAAACGCGGAAAGTAAATCTAACAAAGAGAAGAGAGTTAGTAGTAGAACGAAGATTGGAGAAGGTTATAGTACCGTTCCTGGCCTGCGGTATCCCAGATCTGAGCCTTGATGCTCTTCTCATCAATGACGAGCGTTCGAGTCTGGAACTCGACACCGATCGTGGCTTTGGAATCCATACTGAACTCATCCCTTGTGAATCGAGCTAGCAGCTGCGATTTCCCCACCGCCGAATCGCCGATCAAAACAACCTTGAACACGTAGTCCACTTTTCCCGGCGATGCGCCGTTGTATCCGCCTCCTCCGGCCATCTTTTTCTCTATTTTCGCTGGTTTCACTGAAAGATTAAAAATTGAAGAGAACTAATCGTTGGGCTTTAATGTAATCGTCTACGCTACAGTCTATGTAAACTAACACGTGCGAATGTCGGCACACTTGTGATTGATGGCTGTTCAATGAAAAAAAATAATGGCCTATACAGGGATCGAACCTGTGACCTTCGCGTTATTAGCACGACGCTCTAACCAACTGAGCTAATAGGCCTTGTTGTTTCAATCGTATTTGTTAAATATTTAAACTTAGAGCTAGAATTAACCAAAATCGCAGAAACCTAAGTAACCTATTTCGCCTGAAGGTTTTTTTTTTCCGGTGATAGATCAGAGCTAATGTATTTGTTTTGTATGAACTGAAGAAAACTTTTCAATTTTCAATGGAGTGTGTCGTTCAAGGAATCATTGAGACACAGGTTCGTTTGTTCAGTTCTAAGTGTTCGGATTCATGTAATAAGCTTTTGTAGCTTCCTCTAATGCCAAATTGAAGAAAAACTAGGCTGAACCAAGAGGTTTGTTTATTCATGGGTATTTAGATTTTAAACTATTTGATGAGTTTCTTCTCAATTTTTCAGCATGTTGAAGCGCTTGAGATCCTTCTTCAAGGTCTCTGTGGTGTTCAACGCGAACGCTTGAGAGTTCATGAGCTATGCTTGAAAAGCGGCCCAAATCTTGGTAAGCCATACGAATTTCTCCGAGTTTCATTACTGAAATCTAAAATTCAATCTGCATTTCTTATGTCTATCATGATTCCACATTCAGGAGTTGTGTCATCAGAAGTTAGGCTTTTATGTGATCTTGATCAACCAGAGCCCACATGGTAAAGGCTTCGTCTTTTTGTTGCATATGTTCTTGTTCTTGATTCACCAAAAGGAATCTTAAAAAAAATCCAAGAATGTTGATCATATAGGACTGTTAAACATGTGGGAGGTGCGATGAGAGGTGCAGGAGCTGATCAAATCTCAGTTATGGTAAGAACAATGATTGAAAGCAAAGTAAGCAAGAACGCATTGCGCATGTTCTACGCACTCGGTTACAAACTAGACCACGAGCTTCTCAAAGTTGGATTCGCCTTTCATTTCCAACGGATCGCCCACATAAGCGTCTCTGTGTCATCAGTCAATAAAATGCCAAAGGTTCATGCCATAGATGAGGCGGTTCCTGTAACACCAGGGATGCAGATCGTAGACGTAACAGCTCCTGCAACACCTGAGAATTACAGTGAAGTCGCAGCTGCTGTTTCGTCTTTCTGTGAATTTCTCGCCCCGTAAGATTACTTTCTTTTTTGTTACTCAGTGATAGTGTAATAGTGTGTCTTTGATTTTAAACTCATCAGTGATACATTGGTATGGTTTGTTTCAGGCTTGTTCACTTGTCTAAACCGTTTATTTCCACTGGAGTTGTGCCAACCGCTGCTGCGGCTGCTGCATCTCTTATGTCCGATGGAGGAGGTACTACATTGTAAGCAACTACTTGCAAGTAAAAAATCAAGTGATCTCTCTCATGTTAGATCTCGTTTTGGTTCAATGTAGTAGTGAGTTGTTTACATCACACAATGGCTGTGGAAACTTGTGAATCACTAGAGTTTAATGCCATCAGTTAGGTATCTCTTCAAGATTCACAATTTGCACTAGATTTTTGTGTCCACTCAACCTCTTGGTAATATATGGCGTTTGAGAGATTTTGAAGCTTTTGATTTCAGAGGAAGAATGTGCATTTTGACAAAAGCTTTCGAACATGATAAAAATCAATGTCTTTGAAGAATCTGAGACCAAAGATTGCTTATTCATGGTTAAACAAAAGTTATATTCCACAATAGATTGCTCATTCATGGTTAAGTCAATGTTTTTCAAGAACCTGAGACCAAAGATTGCTCATTCATGGTTAAACAAAAGTTACATTCCACAAAACGTTGTTATTACTAGAAACTAAAAATGCTGCTATGAATCATCAAAAGGAGTGGTGCCACAGTTTCCTAGCGCATAGGTCTCATAGCTTCTGAGGTCGAGAGTTGGAGCAATAGATGGATCAATCGGAAACGAGTAAACAGTGTAGAAACGAATCGTAATCGAAGACTGTGGCCACAACATTACACCACACCATCTCCCCACGAATCCCTCGTCCGACCCTATCCAAGGAGATCAATGCACATATGATATCCTTCTCTAAAAATAAAAAAATGACAAGGAATAATATGTAAAAAATATTTCTAATAAATTATGTATTTTTTTGAGGAATGCAGAGAAATGTTTGTATTTTTAAAGAATGAACCCATTCATTAATCACCAACTAGAGCCTTAGTGAGTTTTACCTGAATATTTTGGGAATAAGGTGCAATAACAAAATTTTATTGTTGAAAACAAAATGTGTGCATTTATTACCCAATCACAATTAAATTCCAAATATAAAAATGAGCACTAGACCCTAGCAGTATACATCAAAACTAAAAATTCGAACAACAAAATCAAAGAGTTATGAATGTTATTCCAATTTTCTTCACCACAACAACAAATTATCATCTTCCTCCCTTTGCTTCTTTAAAGCTTCCTCTTTCCAAGAGCCATTCCAATTTTGAAAAGCTAATAGAGCAGAACAATGTGTATATATAATTATATATATTAGAATCACATTTCCAAATGTCAAAACTTCCTTTCTTTCTAATCATCTACTGCTGCTACTATTAGCAGTCTTGTTCTTGCTCATATCAGCAAGCTCCTCAATAAGCTTCTTCTCCTCTTTGCTCAATCTCTTAGGTATCTCCACTTGCACTCTCACCAACTGATCCCCTCTCATATTACTCTTGTTCAACACCGGAACTCCCTTTTTCGCCATCACCAGCGTCGTGCTCGGCTGTGTCCCCGCCGGTACTTTCAAATCCACCGTCCCATCCACCGTCGGTACTTTCAAAGTCGTCCCAAGAATCGCATCGATATACGATATCTTGCAAGTGTAGAGAATGTTAGTATCGTCACGTTTCAAAACCGGGTCTGGTATAACCTCTATAACAACAAACAAATCTCCCGGTGAACCGCCTCTCTTCCCGGCATTGCCTTCTCCTCTCACTCTTAACCGGCTACCGGAATCAACCCCAGCCGGTACTTTGAGACTTATCCGTTTCGTCTTCCTCACGCGTCCATCTCCTGAGCAAGTACCACACGGAGTCGAGATCTCTCCGGTGCCGTTACAGGAAGAGCAAGTCATGACTTGTTGGAACACGCCGAGAGGAGTTCTTGCTGATGAAACCACTTGACCTTGTCCGCCACACGTGGTGCATTTGGTCGGTTTGGTTCCTGGTTTTGCACCTGAGCCATCGCAAGTCCCGCAGCTCTCGAGCCGAGATATCTCTATCTCTTTCTCCATCCCGAAAACAGCTTCTTTGAAGTTCAAGATTAGTGTGTAGTACTCGTCTTGACCATCCACGGCTCTGCTTCTTGAACCTCTACCCATTCCACCTCCTCCCATCCCGCCCATGCCTTCGAATAATGACTCGAATAGATCGAACGGATTACTAAAATCCTATGAAAAAACCAAACCAAGAAGTGATTAGAGAGTTGTCTTTAAAGAAGAAATCTGTGAATCTTTGTTTTGGAACAACGTACCCCCATGCCTCCCATTCCACCAGCACCTTTAACTCCGGCCTCACCATACCTATCGTAAAGAGATTTCTTTTCATCATCTGATAAGACCTGCATAGGCAAAAAAATTGTTCTTTTAGTCAACAGAAATCTCTCAAAAGGCAGCAGTAAAAGTTTGAACTTTGCAGAGGCAAAGGAGAAGTTGGTTTTCAATTTCACCTCATAAGCATTACTTATTTCTTTGAATTTCTCTTCTGCACCAGGATCCCTGTAAGCACACACCAAACTTGTAAACAACACGGTGACGATTTTCGATTTTAGAAGCATCAGTCTTGAACGAAAAATATAGCAGTTTCTGAGCATTTCATATTTTAGGTCTGTATTTCGCTAATGCCTATAAGTTTTGAAGGTTGATGATTTTCCCAATCCGGCATATCTTACATTTGGCTACATAGATTAAGGTTCTTATGTTGTACTTGAGTGGTCGATCCTATCTTCACGTTCTCAAGATATACAGCAGCAGTCTTATCAAATGCAGTTTCTCACTTACTTGTTCACATCCGGATGGTAATTCCTAGCCAACTTCCGATAAGCTGAAACAAGAGCAAGGAAGAGTGAATCAGTGTCATATACCAAAAAGTACAAGTAAAAACAAAACACAAGAAACACAAAGAGAAGAATTCAGAAACATATGTAAAGCAGTTTATAAACAAGTGAATCTCTTAACATTCAGAAGAAAATGGAAACATACCGCTTTTAATCTCAGATTTGGTTGCATTTTTTGAAACTCCCAAGACCGAATAGTAATCCTAAAATGGCACACAATCACACATCAACAAATCAAGATCATAACAGAAGCGATCTAAGCAATACAGATGTACACATTCTGCAAGGGCAAGAAAATTGGAACACTTACCGCATCAGCTCTTACAGTGAAGCGAGATCCTCTGCGAGGATGCATATTTCTGGACGTTCCCGTCATCGACAAGAAGGGCAAGGAACCATTTGAGAACATACTCGACCTTGTAGTTCCCAACCAATTAATTGGTCTCATGGAACTGCAAGGTTGTTAAAAGAGAAACCTTTAATGCTACTTTAGATACATAACTCTTCCAAAAACGTCTCTTTTTATTGCCTCATTGTCCAAGGAATACTCTTCATAGCGTCAAAACTCTTAGTCTAGAAACCACAATATTAATAACTCCAATAGCAATTCTACAAAGACTGATCTTAGCGCAATGTCAACAAATCAAACTAGTTTCGATATCACTACGTCAAGAACTTATTCCAATTCAGAGACTTAAGTAAAACAGAAAATCATACTTTTGATGACGAGTTGATTCGACTCTGCTCGGATAATAAGCTCTCACTGCAAATTGAGCAACGCAAGTACTTCCAAATTGTAGTAGAGCCATTTTAAGCTCAGTACACTCCCTGCAACACAATTAAGTAACTTCACCGTCAAAATCTGGCTTTCTTACTCTATAAATCAAAAGCTGACTCAATACTTGAACAGAAGAAACATTTGCATCATCAACAAGAGGGAACAATGAGACTGGGATTTAGCACATAAATTTAAATCCCAAGCAGAATCAGAATTTCAATTTCACAGGAATAATAAACAGTGCCCATAACAGAATTTCAATTTCTTCATCGACTAAACCAGAAAAAAGGCAAAATCATTTCTGAAGAAATCCGAATTAAGCGGCCAAAGGTTCCTAGTCGGATTCCAGACGCCGCAATTCTTCCCTCTCCGAGTTAAAAAAAAGTGTAAAACCTCGAAAACGTCGTTGCTTCGATGGATTCAATCGAAGGAAATAAAAAGCCTAAAGGAGAGGAGAGATAGAGAAGATGCGAACACAGAGATTTCTCTGTAGTGGAGGAATCTAGAGGTGAATCGTACCGTAAATCAAATGGTCGACGAAGGGAGAAGGAAGAGCTTTGCGAGCGAGAGAGAGAGATAAGAAAGCTGAGTAGAGAAACGAATGAAAGGAGGTTGCTAGAAGAACGTAGCCCTTTTCTTATTTTTTTAAACTTTTTGATAATTCTTTATTTACAATTTTTATTATTATTAAATAAAATCAAGAAAGAAAATATTATTAGGTGGGAAAAAAAGAGTAAAAAATAAGAATCTTTGCAGAGCATGGGAATCTAGAATGTATATACAAATGGAATAATATTGCTACACTTTTCTTTTCTGTAAAAATTATAGATTAATAATATAGAATTACATATAAATGTTTATTGATATCTCCACCTTGTTAGTATTATTATATCCAGGATATGATACTGTTTCTCTGATACAAATTTAGAACTTTTTAACTTATCAAACCAAAAGAACTACTTTCTACACCTTGAAAGCTGGTCTTGTTTTGCTAATACATCAGCCACATGATTAACATTTCTATAAACATACAAGAAATCGAAAGAAAAAAAGATCCTGGAATCATGATGGAGAGAGGTGATGCCAACTACTTAAAAACATTTTGGAATCATCACAAAAAGTTGCCTTGTTACAACTTATAAACCAACCTTATGAAGATACACTTTTGTAAGAGAAAGATTGATTTCACAATCTCAGAGTAACTATAACGAATCTTCTTCTCCTCTTTTCCCTCAATCTCGTAGGTATCTCCACTTGCAGTCACGCCAACTGATCCCTTCTTCAATACCGGAACTCCGTTTTTCTCCATCACCAGAGTCGTGCTCTGTTGTGTCCATGTCGTCCCTAAAATCGCATTGATATAAAACATCTTGCAAGTGTAGAGTATACTGCATCAGGATCCCTGTAAGCACGGAATACAATTTCAAACAAGAAGGTGACACAATTTCATAACTTCAGAAGTATCACTGGTGAAGATAAACAAGCGGTTTCTGAGCATTTCATATTTCCCGGTCTGTGTTTAGCTAATGCATGTGAGTTTTGAAGTCATCTTGTTTTTGGCATTTCTAAAGTTTGGCTAACAGAGATTAAGGTTCTTATATCATACTGCAGTGTCAATGTTGTTATTTACTCGTTCTCAAGATATACAACACCGATCTTCATAAGATGGGAGTTTTTCACTTACTTGTTCACATCTGGATGGTAACTAAGAGCCAGCTTCCGATAAGCTGAAACAAGAGCAAGGAAGAGTGAATCAATATTGTCAACCATTTATATACAGAGAATTGCACACAATCATCACCCATAAGCAATCAAGATCATAACAGTAGTGATCTAAGCAAGTCAGATACACACATTCTGCAAATGCTAGAGAACAGGACCAAGCACCGAATCAGCTCTAACAGTGAAGCGAGATCCTCTGCGGTTCTGCATATTTCTGGACATTCCCGACATCGACAAGAAGGTCAAGGAACCCATGTAAGAACATACTAGACTTTGAAGCTCCCAAATAGTTTATTTGGCTCCTCATGGAACTGCAAGGTTGCGAGAAGGAAAACCTTTAATGCTATTTCAGATATGTAACTCTTCCAAAAACTTCTCTTTTTCTTGTCTCATTGTCCAAGGAATACTCTTCAAAGTGGTAAAACTCAGTCGAGAAATCACATAAAGTTTAATAGCAATTCTACAAAGACGATTCCCAATGTCAACTATGTCAAGAACTAAATGCAATCGAGAGACTTAAAACAGAAAAAAATTCATACTTTTGATGGCGGGCTGATTCGACTCTGCTCGGATAATAACCTTTCACTGCAAATTGAGCAACAAACGTACTTCCAAATTGTATTAGAGCCATTTTTAGCTCAATACACTCCCTGCAACACCATCAAGTATCACAAATCAAAAGCTAACTCATCACTTGAATAAACAAAACAAGAAAAATAAACAAACAATATTTGCATCACCAACAAGCAAAAACAATGAGCTGGGAATTTTAACACGACGTACTTAATCCCAGGCAGAATTAGACTTTCACGATTTCTTCATTCACTAAACCAAAAAGGCAAAATCATTTTTATATAAGTCCGAAGCAAAGATCAAGAACCTCGAAAACTTTGTTGCTTCTTCGATGGTAGACAAAACCTAAAATGAGAGGAGAGATAGAGAAGATGCGAATACAGAGGATTTCGGGTTTAGGGTTTTTAAGGCTTGTTTTAAGTCACATATGACTCATTTATACTTTGTCCAAGAGCTAACCGATTTGAGACCATTTCATACACAACTAGATTTGAACCTGTCCTCTCTTTGATTTTTTTACATCATTTAAGAAGAGGTCTTTAATTTTAGGTTGATAGTACTTTTCTAAATTTTGGACGTGGGAGAGAGAGAGCGACCACCGGGGGATCCGCCTGATGCCGCTGGATTGTGGGTATCAAAAGTCACGGGTAGGGCTGCGGGTGGGATGCCTACCCCAGAAAGTGTGTTGGATGATGAGTTTGTTGTGTCGATGGTACAGTTGGAGTTTCCGGATGGTGAGGAGGGGGAACCGGTGGTTACGATTGGGGAAGAAGTGATAGAAGCTATGCATGGGTTATGGAAGAAATGTATGATAGTGAAAGTGTTGGGGAAACAAATTCCGATCCAGATGCTTAATCGAAAACTTCGTGAGATGTGGAAGCTGAAGGGGGAGATGTACGTCATGGACCTACCTAGGCAGTTTTTAATTGTTCGTTTTGAGTTGGAAGAGGAGTATTTGGTAGCATTAACAGGAAGTCCATGGCGGATTTTCGGTAGTTACTTGATGGTGCAGGATTGGTCACCAAGTTTTGATCCTCTTAGGGATGAAATTGTTACCACGCCGGTGTGGTTAAGGTTGACGAATATTCCAGTCCATTATTACCATAGATCGATCCTAATGAGCATTGCGAAAGGACTTAGCAAACCGATTAAGGTGGATATGGCTACCCTTAATTTTGAGAGAGCTCGATTTGCAAGAATATGTGTGGAAGTGAACCTATCTAAGCCATTGAAGGGCACGATATTAATCAATGGGGAGAGATATTTTGTGGCGTATGAGGGATTGGTGAATATATGTTCATCTTGTGGGATCTATGGTCATTCAATTCATGCTTGTCCTAAGCGTAGAGTGGAGAAGGACGTGAGTCCAGTGGTGATGGAGGATAATTCTAGAGAAGTTGCACCACCTCAAGAAGAAGAGGGTTTCACGGTGGTTAGAAGCCGGGAACGGAGGCAGTCTAAAGCAGTGGTTTTTTCGGCGGGTTCTGATGGGGGAGGATCGTCGAGGAATCTCCGGGAGATCACGCAGAATCAGGAATTGGAGATCTCAAATCGGTTTGGTGGTTTGGAGGTAGATTTGGTATTCCCCGTAACAAGGAAAGGTTTAAATGTGGGTGAGGCAAATAAGGAGAATGAGATTATGCTCCTTAATGCACAGAAGGATTCACGTGGTACACAAGGAAGAGATGCAAGGTCCGGTTTAGTTGTGGAGAAGAATAAAAATGTTACGAAAAATGGGTCCAAGGCGAAGAGAAATGGATCGGGTAAGGTTGGTGAGCCCAGTGGGCCGAAACAAAGACAAGGCCCATCGACTTTGACATCGAGAGGACTTGTGTTTGGACCGGCGAAAGGAGAGGAGATGCTCTCAGCTAATGGAAAAAGGCTAAGAGTTGAATCAGTGGGAATGGGAAGACCAGGTGGAGCTTTTGTTAGTGTCCGTGAGGTTGCTTTGAGCGAGCCGAGTGGGAAAAGTTCCGAGACAGGATAAGATGGGAGTACTAAGTTGGTTTCTTCTAGAATGGAGGAGGATAGTGCTTCGGTTGAGAGGGTAATGCCTGATGGGGAGACGTAGTTGGGTAGGGCTTAATGTCACGCCCCGGTAGTTTTGCAGCTATACAACATTTATCTGATGGATTGTCTATTATGGAACTGCCGGGGGGCGAATAAACCCAATTTCAAGAGAGCAATACGCTATATGTTGAAGAAGTTTAAAACAGATGTCCTAGCCTTGTTTGAAACTCATGCTGGAGGTGACAGAGCGGGAAGAATCTGTCAAGGACTAGGTTTTGAGAATTCGTTTCGGGTTGATGCGGTGGGTCAGAGTGGTGGTATTTGGCTTTTATGGAGGTCGGGTATCGGGGATATGAGTATTGTGGAGTCGTCTAGTCAATTTATTGCGGCGAAACTACAGAATGGTGCAGAGGTCTTGTCTATTATCGTCGTGTACGCAGCTCCTTCGGAGAGTAGACGAAGTGGTTTATGGGAGCAGTTGAGTGCAGTTGTACAGCGGCTAGAAGGTCCTCTGATAATTGGAGCAGACTTTAATACGATTGTCCCGTTAGATGAAAGAACTGGAGGGAATGGGAGGCTGTCTAGTGATTCACTTGCTTTTGGGGATTGGATCAATAATCTATCTCTAATTGATATGGGTTATAGTGGACAAAAGTTTACATGGAAACGTGGGAGAGAGCAGGAGAATTTCGTGGCAAAACGGTTGGATCGAGTACTTTGTTGTGCTCATGCAAGGTTGAAGTGGCAAGAGGCTCGGGTTAAGCATCTTCCCTTTTTAGCGTCGAATCACGCTCCCTTGTATGTCCAACTCTGCCCCGAAGTAAGTTGTGATCCGAGTAGAAGGCCTTTTTGCTTCGAAGCAGCTTGGCTTAAACACCCGAGCTTCAAGGATTTGATCACGGCGTCATGGAATAATACGATTAAGACGCCGGAAGCGTTGAATGAGTTACGAGTCAAGCTCAAGAGATGGAACCGGGCTGTGTTTGGGGATGTTCATAGACGTAAGGAGGAGTTGATGGCGGAGATAAAAACCGTTCAAGAGGCTCTTGAGCTGAGTCAAACCGATACACTCTTACACGAAGAGGAGGTATTGCTGCGGAAATTTGAAGAGGTTTTGGAACAAGAGGAAGTGTTGTGGTTCCAGAAATCAAGAGAACAAAAAATTGCACTTGGGGACAGAAATACGAAATATTTCCATATGTCTACGGTGATACGGAGAAGACGGAATCGTATTGAGCAGTTGAAGAATGATGAGAACCAATGGATCACAGACGCTAATGTATTAGAGCAGATGGCGGTGGCTTATTACAAGCGTTTGTACTCAATGGAAGATGTGCCGAGTGAAGTTGTAATGCCTCCTAGAGATGGGTTTGTGACTCTTACCCGTGAGGAGAGGGAGAGTTTGAATACACCGTTTTCAGGGAGGAAAGTTAAGGAAGCAGTGAGGGGTATGGAACGATTTAAGGCACCGGGGCCTGATAGTTATCAACCTATCTTTTACCATGAATGCTGGGACATTGTAGGCGAATCGGTGATACGTTTCGTCTTAGATTTCTTTGAATCGGGTACTTTACCGGCTGAGACTAATGATGCTTTAGTGGTTCTAATAGCTAAAGTATCAAAGCCAGAGAGATTACACAGTTTAGGCCGATAAGCTTGTGTAATGTCATTTTTAAAACAATCACGAAGATGATGGTAATACGACTTAAGAAGGTGATCGCGAAGCTGATTGGTCCTGCACAGTCTACTTTTATTCCCGGGAGATTGAATATGGATAATATCGTGGTGGTACAAGAAACGGTCCATTCAATGCGTAAGATGAAGGGTCGAAAATGGTGGATGCTCTTGAAACTTGATTTAGAGAAAGCATATGATCGAGTTAGATGGGATTTCCTGGA